TATGTCTTTTTCGTTTACTAAAATATGTATGAAAAGTTTAGCATAAATGAGGTTCCCATTTCTTCGTTACAAGGTGCTTTGTATATGGAATTTAAGAGTTAAACTGGATAAATAAATGAAACTTCAATCTTACCGTTCCTCCCGGGTGGTGCTCCGCTCACATCCCCGATTAAGAACTGTGGAAATAGAATCAAAGTGATACATATGGAATGGAAACAACGGATGAGATTAATACATTATGTATTAATAACAGTTTTCAACTGTTTTTAATAGAATAAAAGTTTCCGGTGGACATTTTTTTGGAATAGAAGAATTTTTTCAATTGAAGAACTTGAAAAAAGGACACTTTTCATTTTTTAAATTATTTCAGAGAAATTTAACACAAATTGTCCACGAAAAGTATCAAACATGAAAAATTTAAAAAAAATCGACTGAAATTGTCGACTCACCTCGGATATCATCAAGCCAATGAGCAGCAGTGTGAAAGAACTTAGACTCAGCATTTCTCTAGCTTCGAACTATTAAAAGTTTACTATGAACGTATCAATTGGTAAGAACTGTTTGATGGACATGCGAATCGAGCGCATCCTCTTATATACTTTTCAAGTGTGGCCACATCGGTGGGCAACACACTGTATGATTCAATCCACGTACAATGACGATTCTAATTAAAGTCCACAAAATATTATCACACACATTTTTCAAGATAACAATATCAAAACGATTGATGGAATTACAATTCCACCTGTGCACGTGTGTTTAATTTCGCGTTTCGCATCAAATGTTTTGCATTGAAAATATCAGACGTTTACATTTATTCTTTCATCACCTTCTAGAAACTACAAATTCAATGTAAAAATTTAAAAAGTAAATATTTTTCACTCTTGAAGGGTTGAGTGGTGTTACTGTGGCACGTGGCTGTTCAAATTTGAAAATTTTCACATCTTCGCTGCATGCACAAAACACATCCCGTTTCAAAGTCGATTCTAAGTTGACCACAGATCAACCGTCGCTTACATGATGTAAATTGGAATGTGAATGACCAAACGAATGACTCATACCTTTGCGTTAGATTCAGGCTCACATGCCATGGTTGCGTTGCTTTGTTCAATAGCTGCAGTGTTAGTTGATGCAATGATATACGGTATCACATTTACTTTACATCACTCAATAAGGTATAGGTAGGATACGATGATATTGATACAAATCTACGCATTCCCTTAAAAAATTACTAGCAAATCTCATGCAAAACCATATCCATACTCAGTAACATTTTCCATAGAAATATAGACAGCTCCTCAATTAGTTTGAAATTCCAAAGAACACACACGGAAAGAAATACTTACAATCCGATACAAATCACATAAAAAAGAAAAAAATTCTGTCACTGTCGCATTTCGTACCAACACAGCCAACTTTTTGTTTCCATGAAATAAATTCTTCGTAGTGGTAAAAGATCTATGGCACAGATTCGAGAAAAATATCACTAATACTGAGAGAAAAAACTTGTTCCGTTTGTGTCAAAGATCGAAAAATGTATTTATTTTATTAAGTTTATCAAGCACTCAAGAAGTTTTTACCTAGCATTAAATTTTCGTTTAAGCTTTACTATCTAAATACGGTCAAATTAGTTATAATACCATCGTGAGATGGCGTTTGTTCTGGTCAAAAGCTTGTAGGTCCCCCGTGGTGTGCGTTTTCCATATTATCGCTAAAATTTCATTTTATCTCATTAAATCAAGAATATTAAGAAAAGAATTGATTTTGAAATGAAAGCCAATTCGGTCTTTGTTCTAATCGATAATTTATTTGAAATAAATGCAGACATTTCAAGTCATCTGCGACTCTTCAGGGCCTAAAAATAACAAATGTTTTGGTTTCAAGGATACTATGACGATGCAAGCGTAATAATGGGCTGTAGTATTCTACATTGGTGGTGACAGTGGGTACATAAAAAAGCCTCGCATTTCTCAGAGAGTCCAAATCCAACAAAATATAATTCTAATATTTAATACCGTATACGGCTTATAAGCAATTTAACCCTTTGACGACCAAAACTGAACGGCTTGGAATTTTGCAATTCTGATTGCAGATTCGTGCTCAGCGACCCCAAAAACCTTAGTGTTATAAAAAATTAATTTTTTTAATTGCAAATATGAAAAAAAAGATGGGACATACATGTCCCATTGGTCGGTAACGGTAATCAGCTCTTCTGCAAAAGACGGAAACAAGCGCCTTATATCCAAATCTGTTGGTGTGTACATCGAGTGAACTAGAACGGCGACAATCTGTTTCGATTGAATTTGGAAATTAAGGTTAGAGTTTATTCGGAATTCAACAGCAAATGCATGTCGAGAGAAGAAAACGCGAAAAAATTTACAAATTCAACGTGAAATTATTGTTATTGCTCCAATTTGTTATTGTTCCCGCTGATTTGCGATTGTGATTATTACCGTTGTCAATCGAAAATAATAATAAACATAAATGGAATCAGTGTATTTTACTACTTGCCTTTGGTTCGTATTCAATATTTTTTATTTGTATTTCCAACTCAAAGTGAATTGATCTAAAAAAAATCAACAAATTGATATAGATTCAATAACAACTGATCGACTGGAAATGATAATGTGGGTTCAGAAACCGCATTAAACGCAAATGAAATAATTCTTATTGGATACAAAAAGAAAACGAGAGAAACCCAATTCGATTTATTTGATGAATGTTTGACGTTTAACGATAACTTGTAAAATGATGTTTGGCCAGACGATAACGCGTTATAAGCATCATAACGTTTCTTGAGTTTTTCCATTAGAATGAGCAAAATCAAGTCAATGTTGTGGGTGAAAGTCGGCCATTCGATGGAGGGAAAAACTTCTACGCAATGTTTAAATGGAGAACGCCGAAGAAATCTATTGCATCGAAGCTAACAACAAAATAAACAACTGGAACGTGAAAAAAAAACATGGAAATGATTGTAATAAAACGATAAAAAATTTATTTGGAGATCAAATTCGTTTTAAAGTAAAGAAAGATATCAAATAAATGCCTTCGAATAAGAAAAATCCTCCGAAAACAACTTCAAAAAACTACAAAGGAGTTTTTGCGTGAGTAGAATATGGTCTCAGTAGCTCATGATTGTATCCCACCCAAACGCAGCTCATTTGCTCACTATTTTGGTTTGCACACAAACAAAACGTCGTCTGTGTAGAACTAGAGCGAGAGCGTATGAGAGACTCTCTTCTCTTGTGTATACGAAAATTCAAACCACCGCATCAACGGCTAAAAATGCACACATAGACACATAAACAACGGCGCTGTAAACTAAGCAATGCACGGAATGTGCCGAACGAACGAAGAGAGTGCAAGAGAGCAAAAACGATGGAAGAGAGCAAGAGCGTAAACAGAATACAGCTGCGTTGCGATTGAACAAAGTAGGCAACGATAGACGAGAAAAAAGAAATATCAAGTTAGTCGATTGAGTTGAATGGCGTCAAGTAGATGTATATTTTTTTGTTTCAGTTTGATTTGAAACTAGAGAGAACCAAAAAAAATATAGATATCAATTTTGTTTCTTCAGTTTAAAAAAAAAGCAGCAGCATTTTTATTTTTGTTTAACGGCATTTATTTATCATTTCGTTTTCTCCTAGTTTACATTTTGTGTTTGATTACAGTTTTTGCGGTGTTTTTGTTGTTATTGTTTATTTGAAAGCAAAACACAGAAATATCGACCGAAGCAAGTAGCAAAGAGAGTGTGAGTCGAAAGGCGAATGGTGGAAATTGGCAACGATGAAAGAAATCATTCTGGGTGGTTGATGTGTGTGTTTGTATTGTGTTCAATAAATTTGTACGCATCTTGAATAAATAAATGCAAAATGCGATAATCAGCATTACGTTATCGTTTCCAAGTGCAACACGGTTGAACAGAAAAAAAAATATGTTCAACAAAAACACAAAACACAGCAGCAACAAAAAAAAATTGTGTCGAATGTAAATGAAAAGAAGTGAATTTAAAATCGAGAAATAAAAGAGGAAAAAAAATATGCTATGATATGCACTTGCATCTAGTATCCAAAGTGATTGAATTTTATTTCGTTTCTTTTTATTCTGATGTTTCAAACCATTGAATAAGAAACGAAAGACGCAGCACAGCACAGCCCAGAAAATATGGCCGGTTTGATGCCAAAAGTGTTCGAAGAGGCGAACCTCAGCGGTGAGCTTCGGCTCAGTGGCCGTAAATTAAAAGACTTCCCGAAAACAGCAGCCAAATACAATTTGAGCGACACGGTCATCGCAGGTAAGCAATTTGACTCTTTTGGAGAACAAAATTGAAATTTCGGTTTTAAAAAAAAACGATATAAAACATTTCATTAGGAAAGAGCATTTGGTTCGTGTCGAAAATTCTGCGGTTATTCACATCAGAACTCTTATATTTTCTACATAAACTACTTTTATTTCTCGATACTCATGCATACAAACGGCTTTTACAAGCGACAACAGCTGCCCATTTCCGTAGCAAATAAACGTTAATTTAAATACCAAAAACAGACGAAAAAAGATGAAGTAGAAGAAGAAATAGTCGAAGTAGAAGCAGCAACAAAACCGCATGAATCGTTAAGATTAGATAAAATGTCGATGTCAGTTGGTTCTCACACAGTAAATCACTTTGCCGTGTGGTTTCGCATCAAGAGACGAATTCTTTGAATGGAAACCATCGCAACATGGAAACGTGATCTCGCTTCAAATTCGCATAATCGTTATTGCACAGAGTCCTGCTCTGTTGTTGTCATTGTGCATACATACACACATGAATGTGTGCTCGTATTGAACGGCAGTCAGTCGAAACCAATACACAAACAAGAAATCAACTTATACCTTTTCTTGCCTCAGTTCAACGGTCATGCTGAGAATTCTGTATATCTCGTTTTCCTACTTTGACTCAATATTCGTTGTGTGTTTTCATTCATCGTGACTGCGACGAAGTACGTGATTTTTTTACTGACTTTATCTACTTGTCCTTTTTCGGTTGCTTCCAAGAACATATTGAAACAAAAAAAACAACAACAGCCCGAGCAGAATAAAATATGTTATCACACAGGTGTAGTTGTTGTCGTCGTCTTCGTCGTCCATGCGCAATTTGTCTTGTACCTTTGTTTATGCTTATGATTTTTTAATATGCCATTTGGTGGCGACCGTCTCATTTTAGCCACCAGCATATGGTTGATAATCCGACAGAATACCAAATGACATTTAAATTTTACGAACAAAATTCTGAACGATTTTGCCCATATAAATCCAGCAAAAATTGCGTGTGTGTGGTGGCTCCGGTTACTGTGTAACAAAGTCAACATACGTTCAAAGAACTCACTATCTCTCAGCTGAACACACTGGCGGAGTGACTATTCAAAAAAAACTGGCAATACCTGATTTCGAGTGCGTAACAAACATGTTTCGATATATATAATATAATAAATGAGCCAACACCTTCCGCTGTTGCAGCAACAAAAACAACCATATCCAATTTCTGTGTGCAACAAAGCAACACTGCACTGCAGATAGGCAGCCCAAAGATCGAAGACACGGTGCTGACATGAGTATGCAATTTTCATCGTTTTTCTCGTATTTTTTTCAATAAATTTATTTTCCGTTTTCTTCTTCACAATATTGTTGGAGTGGAACGGATTTGAATATAAAAACACCGTTTCAACGATCAGTCGAATCAAGATAATGGTACAGTGTGTCTGCATTTTGATTTGTGGGCGTTAAACCTGCCGCTTAAATGCAGTATATTTAGTATACACACAGTGGAGAACGACTTATTTCACTCGAACCCAGCCAGTTTAACTGCAACATTTTTATTAGTCCATTCCGAATAAAATGTGTTTTATTTCGAACTTTCAAACAACGTTGTCGCCGCCACCGTCGTCGTCGTCATCGTCGTAGTCGTCGTCGATGAAAAGGAAAGGCAATCTCTTTCTATTACTCTGACGTAAAGCCGATTTTTTCGTGTTTGATTTTCTTCTTCGTCGTACAAATCGTGTTGATTTCGGTGACAATATACATATAAAATACATAAATGCATATGGATAAAAAGTCGAACGGTCGTACTGTTACATACGGGGATTAAAATGAATAAAAACCGACCGTCTTTTTTATTCCAATTTATCGTATACGATATGCATCGAACAATGTCAACTGTGTATGTGTGTTTTGAGTCCCCGCATCACATTCACTTTACGTTTCCGACAATAGAAAATCAACAACAACAACAAAAATTATTCGTGTTAATCATAATATTTCCACCATACAGACCATTTCATTTTTCAAAATGTATGAATGGATGTTTATTATCGTTATGGTGATGCTGTGCGTGTATTAACGACATGCAGCCAACCCCAACTTTGAGTTTCGGAAAATGAAACGAATGCGGCATCTTAAAACACCGGCAACACAGCGTATGACACACAACTACAGCCATTGTTTGTGAATGCCCGAGAAATATCTGCATTTTCCATGGCGCAGCAGCAGCAACACGGCGAATGTTTCCATGCAGTCAACGTTCGATGTTTTATTTTGCCATTAGCACCGGGATTGAAAAGTCTCATTGTAATGGGACTTTCAACAGATGTACAAAGACTAGCGTGCAAAGCATTTAACAAAACCACACATCCTCTCGGTGCGACCAGGAGAACGCAGACAAAGAATTTACATTCAGTGTGTGTGTTGTTTTTCCGACAAATTTCGGGTGCGTGTGTATGGAAGCGATATGAATGGCGAACACTGTTCGCCCCGAATACAAACAGCTGAAGTTGACAAATGGCTTATCGCCCAACACCCAACTATCTTGCCGCATTCTGTACACTAACGTTACATTGAAGCACCCGATTTTTTCGAGTTTTTTTTTTATTCCGTCGGTCGATGCTTAAATCAAATTCCAGACATTCGTTACTGTTGCCACACCAACGGTAAAAGCTGTATGTGTGTGCGATGTGGATGTAGCTGCTTTTTGATTGAATGCGGCGGAACTGAGCACTTTCATTTTCCATTTTCCTCGTTGCGCAAAAGTAACGCCAATTACGGAACATGTTCTGTTCTATGTAGTAGCAGCAGCAGCATACTATGCTGAGCATAGTGTATAAGCTATGCGAAACGAACGCCGAATTTCGATGGCAATTTCGATGAAGAATGTGGTGTTTTTTCCGTCGAGTTTCAAATCGATTTTTTTCCATTGACGCACGCACTTACACACCGAATTTATCGATTTGCTAGAACAAATGAAGCAATTTCCACAATGGAAAGAAAAGAAGCAGTATTACATTATGGTCGTTAGGGGAAAGGAATTCAACGGAAGAGTCGTTCTTTTGGCAGCAAATCGACATGGTAAAACTCTCTTTTTCTCCATTTATTTCCTATTTTCCAAACCTAATGGAGTTTCAGAAGCAGCGGCTGAAACTATTCTCACAGCTCTCTCCATTTATGGTTTCGAAACGATTTATCACAATCGAAGGTGACTCCAGCATTCTCTGCAGCAAATGGTTCAAATTAAATGTAAAAATAATGAAGTAGCAGTGAACGAAAAAGAAATCACATTTAAGAGCTGCCTCCCTAATGGAGATAGCAATGGCAAAATCGATTATCTCGAATGAGATGTGGTTGTTGATTTTCCTGTTTCATGCCGAACCGTAATTGCATTATCTGTGCCCACAATTCAATTTCCCCGACGATAGTTTTCATGACAGATAACACGCTCACGTCGGCTCTTGGTATGTCGTGATAAAAGCCGATTTGCCGATGAAACTGTGAGAAGAGGCAAATTGAAATGTAGCCGCTTTGAGTCATTCCATCTTGGTGCCGAGAGTAAGAGATACTACTTATCGTTTGCTTGTACGTCTCATTGAATAAATATAATTGCTGTTCAAATCGTCGTCGTCGTCGTCGTCGTCGTCGTTCGCACGATTCAAACAAACACATTACGACACGAATGACTCATTCACCGTCTTGATCACACGACGCAGTGTAATTGAATGTGTCTTTAATAGGTGAGCGCGCCGTTTATCGATTCGTTTGAGGGGATTAGCGGCAAATCTGTTTAATCGAAGCCGGTTGGCTAGTCGATATCGTACCGAAAGTGAAATCCATTTGAAATACCCATATAAATACGTAATCGCAACTAATAAGAAGTCATAAAAATTGAATAGCCCTGGCTGCAGTATCATATCCACACGAAACCGACCGCACACCTGAACCGCGTTTCGATATTCATTTGAAATGTAACTTAAAATTCTTCTAATCATCGAAACATTCTATATGAAACAGACGGAGGCGAACAAAACGCCTTGAAACACTACATCAACAACAACCACGTTCCATTCCACACGCGCACATAACGCAATCACAATTCGTTCATGAATCGATAAACAAATGTAGTGTAAACGTTTCGCTTTTTTCTCTCTTATTTGAACGTAAACGTTTTTTTTTTCTTCATTTTTTTCTCTCGTTTCAAACAATACAAAAACCATCGTGGCGAATCGTTTAGAAGCAAAATATCAAAATAAAAATGGAATATTATCAGAACTGAGTCACGTTGAATGCAATCAATGAAATTCATTCAAATGTTGTTTTGCTGGTGCTAGAATGAAAAATCGTTTGGTGTGTTTTTTGCTCTGTGCGTTCGTTGATAAAGTGGCTCAACGGAAATACAGAGAGGGAGAAAGAGAGATGGATTGATTCATATGATTCGTAGTAATTTCTTTGTTTCCATCATTCGCTTGTATAATCGTTCCATTTGACGTAAGCACATTGAATTCTCCCATACATTTTGTTCACGCATAGTTCCATTGCATGAATCGCTACGTCGTTCGTTTCATCCGAGCACAAGTTATGTATGATTTTATAATAATCAAATGAAATAATAAATAGTCGCGCGCCTTGGAATATTGTTTGTAGATCGAAATTGGACGATTTTGTTCCTGTTTGTTTTTTTTTCATTGCTCGCTTACAAGTCGTAACTTACGACGCTCTATCAATGTGGATCGAGGCCTCAGAGCATAATGAAGCGAAACGAATGGCAATCATTCCATACTATGAAAAGAGAAATAATCGAGACAGAAAGAAAAATCTTTGCTGAATTTCTTCGCTTGTCAACGGAATGACAAGTTGAATTGATAAATGATTACGAATAATCATACAAAGTCATAAATGTAATAAATAATGATGATGACGATGGGCGCAGTGTATAAAGCAAAATTAATATTTATCGAAAGAAGTGCGTGCGCATTAAATAACGATGGAAACCAAAAGCGAAGCGCATTTGATGCTGCACGGAATTGCGACAGCGCCATTGTTTCACTTGTGTCATTCTCTTTCTCATTCACAGCTCTTTTTGCTTTCTTTCGTTGTTGCGAGAGATGCGCTCTCGAGATTGAGATCGAGTGTAAAATGTGTTGTTTAGCTGTTAATGGCGCTCTATTCCCGTACACATAACGCGCAACCGATTATTTCATACTCCGCACAATAATACTAAAGTGACATATAAAGCATTTCCGTTCATATAATAGACATAAACAATTGATTTGAGTGTTGCCGTTGATTTGATTGCTTCGAAAAACCGACAACCATCAATGTTTTCGACGCATTAACAACATGACTTGAGAACGACAATAACTTTCCAATATTATGTTTTACGTTTTATTATTGTTACTAGTTGCTGTTTTTGTTGTTGTTTACGTTCAAAGGTAAACAAACTTCGATCAATCGATCAATTCGATGTCGAATGCACATGCAACTTGTTGTGTGGAAATAGCAAAAATGATATGCTAAACGTAATACACATTTGTTTTTGCCCGGCAAAAAAGAACGGCATAACCACGAAATCGCTGCCAAATGGAAACATATTTTCGAATGGCAATAAACCAATGCCGCTAATCACACAATAGTCTCATTAAGTATTAAATTGTTATGGCTTCAAACCACGCTTTCCGTTCTCGAGCATACATTATTCAAGCGTGAAGCAATGCTCTGCTCTTTATGTCTCTTTTTTCCATCGGTTTGTGCTTATTTGAGCGCGTATAACATTTATGGAGTGGCTTCAACATCATTTTTTTTAAAATTACATCGCATAAAACATGTATGCGCACGATGACGGAATTATAGCGACGAGAGAGAGAGAGAGAAGAACAGCGTTCGCAGAAATGCCTATACATCGATCGTCAAAAAAATTGTTGATGAGCATTTTAAATGCTAAGCGGCAATAAATTGATAATTGCAAGCCGCACCGAAATGAATTGGATTTCATTGATTTTTGTCATTGAAAAGGGCATTTCGACTAATTATTACGGGTGTGTGTGTTTGATGCGAATGCGCACATTCAAATTTCGACCCGTAAAATTTCAGCGAAAAAGACATAAAATTTTCAATTCATCTAGAGATGAAAGAATAAAGCCGGTTAAAAGATGATAATTTGTAAACTCAAGTTGAATTCCTTGGTATAATAGCCAATTTCCTTGTTATTCAAACTAAAATTCGTTATTCGATTGTGTCAAAATGTGTTGAATTCGTCATTTTAATGCGAAACACGAGTAAATTTTCATAAAACATCGGAACATAAGGACAAATTCTTGGATAAAACAATTTCGGTTCCTTTTTCGCCGTAACCGAATGAATCATCGACATTTACTGAATCTAATAGCACGGCTTTGAAAGAGGCTTGCGTACCAACGATTTGCACATTGCATGACTCATTCGCAAGATCAAAATCAACACACCATGGAAAGTGAGTACAAAAGCAAAAACACATTAGTTCCATGGGTACCAAGTGTGTATGTGTCATGTTCAAAATATTTGCTGGCTTCTCATTGGAACGCGTAAACGGTTCTCTTGCTAAATGCTTTCTCTTTTTATAAACTGATACGAAGTGGTTTTATCCGAAGCAAAATCTGTCGACGTAAAATCGAGCTCGCGAGAAATTCTTTAGTATTTAGTCTATATGACGGAATGCATAACCAAAATAGCAAACACTCTGGAAAGGCCAATGAATAAGAACAGCCAAGATATGAGAAATAGGAATTGCCGCGTTGGAAAACCAATTATGTGTGCATTTCGCCGCGTAGGTTTTGTTCGCGTCTATTTTTAGATTCTTTCTGTTACAAGAACGACCTCAACACTGGATTTACATCCGAGCACCGATCTTTGCCTTTATTATTTATTCACTAAACGAATGATGCATAAATAGAAATTGATGGATTCGAAACACTCTGAGCCCGTTCTTCTCCACTTAATCCGAATAACGTGCTTCTAAATGGCGCGCGTGTTGTTTGAAACAAATCATTTCGACAACGAAATGAATTTTATCCAAAAAACTAATTAAATATCGTGAAAGACACTTATGAAATATGTGCGCTCGCACAGAATTTTTTCCTCTCTCGTTTTTTGGATTTTGCTGAAAGGAACGAAGCGGCCAATTTAGTCGACGAGTCGGTGCTCAATACCTCATGCATTTCGAACATGTGTCAAAAGTCAATTCTTCTTCGTTTTTGTTTTTTTGTCGTAATTTCCATTTGATGCTTTTTGCTCTCGACGGCGATGCATGTTGGAATTCCAAAAATAATGCGGCCCATTCTTTCCTAGCATGAGTGAAACATTCATTCGATTGTAGAATGAGACGGAGATGAATTTTCAACACTTTTTTCGACATTTATAATCGTTCGATGGGTTCTTTGTTTTTTTTTGTTTAATGAATTGAAATTTATTCACATATTTATTTACGATTTCATAAAGGCAATAAACGATGAGTTATATGCGTATTTTTTATAACGCTTCTGACACTGCAGTGCACTCAGTCGACGGTGAATTTAAAAAATATCATAATTAATTACCTTCATTAATTCCCATTCTACCTTACTGAGTTCTATGAAAATGTGCCGGCTTCAATAAAATGCTGAAACATAAAACGATGAAAATGATAAATCATACCGTGTTTTTATGTAATGTTACTTTATTTCAGTCACTGATCCATAGCCGAGAATCTTCTGCTTAATCTAATAAATTACGTAAAACTACAATGACGACCGCACAAATGTCATTGGTGTGTTTTTAATATTACATTCTTTCTAATTCTAAATGCTAGTGGATTTCCTTTCAAATACGAAATATTATTGCATTTTTGCTCAATTTGGAATGTTGTTTGCAAACATGAGGCCAATTGAATATGCATCAATTTCCAGTATGCATTTCAAAATGTTTGAATATATCAATTTCCAATAGTTGCAAGTCAAGAATCGTTCGATTTGGAAAGGCGCTAGATTGAAACGACCCTTGCGGTTAAACTTTCGAATGTGTTGTTCTCATCGATTCAATAAAGAAGAAACGAAAAGAAAAAAAAAACGCAGGCAAAACCAATTACACAAAGAACAATAGACATGATTATCTTCGCTGCACGAAGCTCACAAAATGCATTTGTCGAACTGTGTGTGGAAAATGGAATGAAACGGCGAAATATACAACGAACAAAACGATAAAAAAAGGAAAAACCTGACATTCATGTCACTGACCCGAATGGAATCGTGCGCATAAATAACTTCACTAGCGCACCATAAATACGAAGAAGCAAATGATAATTAGTGAAAATGGAGAGTGTTCTGAGTGTATGTAGCGATGCATGTATCTAGCAGTCGTACAATAGAGAAGCAGAAGAGTGTTTCACAGGCGCCCATTTCTATGTGTGTGTGTGTGTTCTGCAAATTGCGTGTTTGATTGACCTACGAGAAGTTCCGTATACTTCATTATACACTAATTATAATTTTCGTTTGTTTTATTTATGGAATTTTCTGTAAGAAAATTTCGTTTTTGTCGTTCATTTTCTCTGCTGTGCATGTTCTCTGTAGTTCACATTCTCTGCCAACCATTAACGTTCTCTCTCTCTGCCCCAACCATCATTACTGTGTAATACGAGCCGATTTTCGAACGGGTCTCGGCGTTGAAATGGTTGGCGTGCTGATTTTATTGATTGTTTCGGTGCGTTTGATTTTGTTCTGTACGATGGGTTCGGCCCTGGATTGTGAACGCAATCGTCTCTTGATTGCCGATTCCATGTGAAATACCGTACGTTTTCGTTTGCTTGGCGTTTTTCCAACATTTGCCAGTCGCAATGATCGCAAATGATCACGTTGTTGTTCGGTTCTCTGCTTGAGAAAATCGCACAGCGTTGAATCGCGAGTGAGCAGCTCATGCAATGTTCTAACGGCTCTAAAGTGGTCTTTCGCCGATATCAAACCATAATCAAATAAATTCGATAAGTGGATGATGCAATTGCGATACAGATTATTGGCTATAATCGAGTGGCCGTGCATTTTGATGAACGCCACAACAGCTGCTGGCATTTGCGAATCACTTACATACGCTTCTTTCAGCACAAATAAATTCCATAATTTCATAATGGTTTTTTCGCCGTCGTTCACATCGAGAAAGTCATTGATCATTTTGACAGTGTTCTCACGCAACCAAATTGGATCCATTTCAGCTTCTGAATCCACATCAAATTCACTTGGCTTAACTGGCAAACCGCTGTACGAATGGTAATATGTTCGCCGTGGGTTTGTGTCAAAGTTTAAAAATTCTGACAGACGTGGCCGTTGACGTTCCGGCCGATTGACAAGTATTGTAGTCATAACTTTGCGTTTGTGTGGCTCATTGCCGCGAAATTTCGTTGCCAGTCGACTGAACGGATCGATTGTTGACTCTTTACGCTTGTCCACGAACACATCGATTCGAATTTCACTCGTGTTCGGCACATATTTAAATTTGAACCGTCCATGGCACAACGTTAAATGCTTTAGTAAAATGTACATATTTGATGTTTTCAACGAGCACCACGGGCACTTGAGCCGATCCCATAGCTCGGTTTTTTGTCGGTAATTCTTGTGAATAAATTGATAGACTAGACACTGTATATTGTCATTGGATTTGTATGTGGAAAATCGGCGGCTCATAATGCTTCCAGTTGAACGACTTCGTGTAAAAACCCGTCGTTTGCCACCGTTCCCATTCGAACCATTAACCATTTCACCATTTTCCTTGTTTTCGCTGTTAAAACTGATTTCACGCGACCATTGCAAATGGCACGTCATTTTGGCCGGTTTCAAAAACTCGTTATCATCATCATCAATTGCATTCATCGATAGCGATTTTTTTACAAAATGCTTAATTTTCCACATCGCTTGCTTGGGCAGTGACATTAGTCCTGCATTTGATTCGTACGCGAATGTTAGTTCATGCAGCCCACTGGCAATCAAACCATTTCGACTCTTGTCAAACAATTCCAATTCCGCATCAAACGCGTAATTTTCATCGTCACGATTCAAATAACCATTTTGTGCCACTTTATCAATAACTCTCACTTTAAACAGTAAAACACACGTTGTGATCTCCAATAGGTCACCATCCGGTGTGGTTATTTTCAGCGCCTCAGTTGGCAGGCTAATTGTCGACAAACCTTTTAGCATATCATTCGGATTGATGTCGATTATCACGGATGTTAACTGCAAAAAAAAAGCGAAACAAAACAAAACAAATTCCAAATTATTTACACAAAACAATGATAAACGAAAGCGTTGAAATCAGCAACATTTTTTCTTCGTTCTTCTATTCACAACAACACTGAAAATTTCAGTCTGAAATTATATATCACTGGCACGAATGTACTGAAATTACACACGCCTGTTCTACTCACATTGATTTTGGTTTGTTTGTGAATGACCTGCACTTCGGCATGCCGATAATTTGCGAGCTCATCGCAACGAAAACCCGAAAAGGTCAACGTCATGTAATGCCGTGCGCCGCGTTTCTGTTCGCCCAATTTGTCAGCAATCGAATGTAAAGTGTTGAATTTCCCACTTGATCGTCGGCGTGGCTTTTTCGGCCGGCACTTTTTCTGGATGACATAGGTCAAATTACGTTGGAGAAATAGCGGAGGCTGCAAATAAAAATGGACATAAATCAATGTTGAATGTGAGAATTATCTTTGGAAATTGAAAAAGTACGACGATGATGATGATGATGTCGACAAAAATGGTCAAACAATTACGATGATTGAAATGGGTATCGATAATTGCAGAAAAATAAAGAAATGATAGAAAAATAGATTAAAATGGACAAAACAGCGATTGAATTGGAATTAATTAAAAATTGATTGTCGTTTGAAGACATTTTTGTGTCATTTTGAACATGTTTTCGGAATAACAAATGGATTAAAATGGCAATATTATATGAAATGGTTTTTTGATTTGCTTCCCATTCCTGGCATTCTTGGACGGAATTGAAACTCGAGAAAACAAGTTTTGAGCACTTTTGACTATTTTGAAAGCCATCATCACGATTTTTTTTCTTTGATTTATCTGTTACAAAAAGTATTGACTTACATTTCTTTTACGATGTTCTTCAAAGAGTCGATACACTTCGGTTGGTCCTGAAAATAGAACAAACGATTGAAAAAACGAATTTTGAAACTATCAAAGAACGTTTGCTATGAATTTAATCGAACAATTTAGATTGCCCAGTTAGATTTGAACGATCACACAAAATGATAGATTTTTCAGATAAAATTCAGCGTTTTTTTTACCGGCAAATGCTTGTATGAAATGTTTTTGCTCTTCATCGGCGATATCGACGTCCATTTTTAAACCTATTGGCTACCTCTGTGCCTCAGTGTATCGATGTTGCTTGATTGACAGTAGAACAATGAATGTTAACGAATTGTTTGAAAGACGTTTCTCAAAGAAAGTCGGTAATTGTTGCCATGTTCCAAATGTAATTGGTAGAACATAACAAATACAACGGCCGAATACACTAACATTCATAACATTTACTGCGTATGTTTTCTATTTACCTAAATACGTTCGAGGTAGCCTCCAAATGTCATAAAGAAAACAGCCATGCCAGGTAGAGAAAAAAAACACGAGAAGAATTGTCACCGTTTGTGTTGGAATACGTGTAAAAGGAGGTTAGATTAGTAAAAGTGGCTGCATCTCCTACCGGTCGATTCTGAGAAACTGCACTTTTCTCATTTCTTCTGTCGTTCGTTCGGTTGGTCGGTCGGTCGTCATAAAACATTCTCTTCAATTCCTTTGCACACATGCATTTCGACTACTTCCACTAGTACACGCGCAATGCTCATAAAAGCGATGTTTTTTGTGTTGTTGATATGAGAAATGGTGCCAACACTGGCCACACTTTCCTTGTATACACACTAGAAAAAAAAGTGAAAAAAAATTGAAACATTAATTTTTGAACGAAGAAACACAAATCATAATTTTGAAATAACGACTGCGTATTTCCTGAAATCCATTCGGACGCGCATCGTCATGATGTTCGAAAGTAATGAGACAAAGATTCATTCATCCGAGTTGACATTTGTTGGCTGGCAGCCCTACGCTTACTCGATGTTTGTTATTATAACGACGGCAAGCATGCTTACTATTTGCCATCTGATGCTCGCTTTTTTGCTACAAAGAAGCCAATTGTAGTCATTTGCTGTGCTCTCATAATGTGACGCTAACGCGACTTTTTATGTGCACTTTTGCATGCTCAGTTCATAAAGTCGTCATTGAATAAATGCGGCGCGAATTCTCAAAATCATGGCTGACGTTTCGTTTCGTTTTTTTTTCTCGTATACACCAAGCTTATTTGCTATTTTTAGAATGCGAGTAACAAAAGAGCGACATAATCCAAAATGAACGGCCACAAAGTTGGCTATTGCTCTCTTTTCAATAGTTCCACTCTATGCGCTCGTCACGTTGGAGTAATAATTATTTGTTTTTTTTCTGTTCCTACACTGGCAACTATTCCTCAGTTTGATGTTCGTACATTTTTTATGCATGTTGTAGTCATTTATGTGATTGAATATGCTTCAAAAGAGAAATACAGAAAAAAAAGAACGAAAAAGAAGATAAAACAAGCAAATGGGTATTTTTCCATCCAAAAATATCTCAAACAAAGCGCTGGAAATCGACGACACTGTTAATCCACACACTCAACTCTAAAATGAATCTCAATTTTTTTTATTATAGTTCATGGTAAATGCAATACGACGCCCTAGCCATTTTCATTCCCATCAAAAAGAGGAAGATTGCATTATTTTCTACTCGCATGCATTTGTTATGTTTGCCATGCAAGGCGTTGCATTAATTTGATTCTGTCATTTAGTTTTATGAAATCGCCGTCTACAATCGCAACAAATTATCATATTTCTCGTTGGAGCGTGGGTTGACTTTGACATTGGCCATTGTTTGGAAGATTTCGTTGTTCGCATGAAAACTCGCAAAATGCAATTTTACTCGTGCCTCTAATGACACACAAAGTCTTATGTGTACTACGGGCGCAGCTCGTGGAACCTAATAATGTCGCAATTTAATGAATCCAAAGGCTAAATCGAATAATTACAACGTAATAAATTCTCGGATAAACGAATAAATTTTTGAACAAATGCATAAATTTCAAAATCACCGTTTTCATGATCAAACTTTGATTACGACTCGGTTTCTAACCAACGAGAAAGTTAACCTTGTTCTCAATTGAACGAAAACAATTATTTTAATCGAACGAATGAAAAACTTTAACTTTTACTGCTAAACCATATATATAAAAATTTGCCGCAACGCTTCATTTCATTCGCTCGTAATTGAACGTGTACAGCAGCACTTTCTATTTCATTTTTGGTAGAAATGGTTGAATTGCGTGATTTAAGGCTTTCAAAAAATTCATAGTTTTATGAACTGAAAATTAATACTTTCGGAACGCGAAGCATTTTGTCTTCGACAAATGAGATTCTCTGAAGGGAAGTTGGTTCGTTGAAGCCGTTTAAAATAGAACGACCTTTTCAATAAAACTTAACAACGATTTCAAGAATGGTTTACGAAACATGGAAAAGTTGATTCATTGCCTGACCTTTTTGATGATTCGATCCAAAATTCGATTCGTTTGTATGGTAAAATATTTCTCACATTTGTCTAATCAATCATCGAGATAAAACATTCATTTTTGCTTCGTATTTTTGATCCATTTCTTAGATGAGAAAGAAGGACTGTTCGTTTCAAATTCGAAAGAAATGATATACAATATCCGCATACGATTTCATGGCAACACATTCTCAAGTCACTGAGAACATTATTCTTTTTTCGTACGGTCGAATCATTTTTTTCCTCCTCCGGCGTCATTTACCTGCGTTTAAACATCAACTTTTGTTTCACTTAGGAGTTTATGAGCAGGTAGAACTAGTTAAATCAAGGTTTTCTTAACTACTACATCAAACGAGTTGCTTCAACCGGGCTTAAAAAATAAAAGAAATCGCATTTTTTTGACCGTAAACTCATTTTTTTTTCATCTTTTTCTTTGAATCAAACTCAAAATACATATATCGTGTTTCGATGAAATAATTCATTCTTTACACGCAAACACACAGTACGTTCAAAGACGTTTATTTATATGGTTAAACGTATTGCATTTGGTTTAAAGGCGCTACTGGAATGGAACACTGGATATATTTGAAATTAAATCCTTTTTATGAACTTTCCGGAATGCAAATCAGTTGAAGGAGGAATGAAATGCAAATTTATCGATACAAATTAATCAGAATGTTACCTTTTTCTACCTGTACTTACTGTGAATAACATGGACTACATGCAAATTGAGGCGAGCAATCCAGTGTTGGCAACAAAGTGCTACCTACAAAATCTGATTGTAGCATGGAAAAAAACTTTATTCAGTATGAAAATGCTATGGAATCTTGCAATTCATCACTGTTTTATTGTTCTCACTAAAGTTCCGACAGCGTTCTTATAAAATATTGAGAAAAAATGAAATGAAATATTCTTCGAATGAATCATCGATGCTCTTCATTTCGGCGATTTTTCGTTCTTGGTTTTGACGATGACGTAGCTTTCGATTCCTCGAACCAAAGCATCGTGCTCAATTTGCAGCTCAGCGATTCTCTTCGTAATGGCTCGAGCCTCCTTTTTCATTTCCCTATATGCGGCTTCAATTACAACCTTTTTATCGGCTTCTGGAAACGAAATTTATTTTATTTAACGTCATTTTTTGTGTCAACTTCGTTTTTTTTTTTTAATTCAACAGTTGAATTTCAGCTAATATATTTTTAGTTAACTTCTTTAACACAAAAAAATGAATTTTTTTTTGGTCAACTGAACATTTTTTCATTCAACTTTTGATTCATTATTGTAACGTTAATGCACAACTGTTTATAAGTGTCAAAGAAATGAATTCCAACCAGAGAGATTCGTATTGTCCATGGTTCCAAGATTGGCTTGATCAACGTGAAAAACAGCGTTTTTGTTTTTATTCGTTCTGATTGACGAGTCGCAATTGAATGATCTCAAAATCCGTACATTCCTTCTGAATGCAAAATCAGCAGCCAACAATATTATGCTTGAAGTGCAAAATAATCTGAAAACAAAATCAATCGCTGAGTAATAATCTGAAGTTTGAGGCGTGTTTGGAAAATAAATCAAGTTCACAATAATAAGCACATAGGATGATTCATTGAAAAGCCTTTGTTTTATCTTTGATCTTTCAAGCGATTTATTATTATTTGATACTTTGTGACAATAAATCAAATAAACATTTCACTTTGAAAATGGAGGACACTTCATTTTGCGCACATTTTTCATTAATTTTTTTTAAATTTATATCGATTTGCGGAAATCAGCGTCCATTTAACGGCGTGATCGTTTGGCATCGTATGGAGCTTCCTCGGTTACATCGCGATCTTCTGATTGAAATGCACGCTGTGCCATCAGTTCTTCTTGGATTTGTCGTGATTTTTGCGAACTTCGACGAGATTCTTCTTCCAATTTCCGCATTTCGCCATACTTTTGCTGTTGCTTTCTACCTGAGCGAAGAGCGTCAAGCAACGCATCAGCGGCTAGATATGGCTTTTTCACAGAAGATGCCGATGATGATGGAGACGATGAATCCAATTTGAATTTTTTCCGCGGATTTTCTGTTAATATTGAAATTATCCACAATTAATATGCGATCAAGCGAAAGTCAAAGAAATTATGCGAACTTAAGTCAAAATTACGTGAAGAATTCTTCTCCATGTCGATTTTGGATCCGTTTGTGAAATTAAATTCAGAAGTTGGACGGTGTAACTTCAACTTTTCTGTCAATGAATCTATTACTACTGTATATCGATACATGATCATGTACCGCTGACGGTCTAGAAGAGACTGATTTGAAAAACGGTAGTCAAATAACGAAGTAAGTCCGCAAAAGGGGATCTCGAATGAAAATTTGATGAATCGCTTATTTGAAACGATATATGCAAAGCCAAAATCAATAATAATTCATCTGATTATAACCAGTCGGAGGTTGGTTTATACAATGTAAGCAATTCCTTACCATTTCAAATACTTCCTAAATAAACACGTTACTTTGTCATACGCTTATTTGATTTTGTGATCACAATGTGATGCAAAGTTATTCAGAACTGCAATAAAATTCAACACACATTTCGATATTCGATTTGTTTATATTTTTATTGGAATTTCTTTCGTAATCACACGAATTGTAGAGAAGAAAAAATTCATTTTGACAATCGAAAATTCACAAAGTATGAAGTAAGTGGATATGCTCATTTATCGGCATTCTTATTGGCACCATTACGTTCACCTTGCTCTTTTTCGTGTTGCTCTTTCTCGCATTGCTCTTTCTCGCGTTGTTCACGTGCATAGCGTTTCTGGAATCCTTCCCAATCTTCGAGCTTGACGATGATTCGTGCCTTTTCGACGACTCGTGGTTTTCCGTCTGTAGAGATTTTTATTAGAATGAATCAATATCGAGTTTGATGAGAAAAAATGGTGATCAAGTCTACCAATGCGGATTAATATTTAAAAAAATCAAGAAAGAGAATAAAAAAATTTACCTTGTGAATTAGATTTGTCCATATTGCTTGGTTTGATCAATTGAGAAAGTTCAAATTTGTCTTCTGATTTTTCTTGGTTTTGATCGATGAATCGACGATGGAACCAGTTCAAACGGTTGAACCACAATGAAACAAAAGAATCTTTTGGACTTATCGATTTGCAATAAGAATCAACAGACTGGCGACTTCCAACTTGAGTTCTTTTGTTGACAATTTACCATTCAAAGTGCTGATTCAGATGAACTGAACATTATTTATGATCCAGAACCATATTCGCCATCGCTACAGAATGAGCTGATTGTTTGCATTTCATTAAAGTATTCAGAAGCAGACGTGTTGATATTTTGCAATATCCGCTTAAAATAATCGCTCCGAAAGAGTTATGAGTATACACAAAGCCTGAAAACTTGATGAATGAATTACAAAAACATCGATACTTATTTCCACTTGATTGTGATTTTTATTACAATGTTCGATATTGACACGAATATTTTTTTTTGGAAAATTGACGCAAATCAATCCTGTTTGAATGTCTCATTTCTTGGCTTTTCCAGTTTTTCTATCTTTTCCAGCCTTCTCAGCCTTCTCGGCCGCTTCTCGTTCCTTTTTGTCCCAATACGCTTCTTGTCTCTGCAAACTATCGTGAATGCTTCTTATGATACGTTTACGATGTTTTTGGTAATCCACCTCCAGCTCCAAAAGTTGCTGAATTTTTTGCTCTATGAAAACAAAAACTCTCATTCAATCACTCTTGATACTATTTTTCACACCAAGTTGATGTCATCGAGAGAGAATCTTGAACTAATTCACTTTAGTTTCCTTACCTGGAATTCTAATGTCTCGTTTTTCCATTGCAAAGAACTTCGGTTCGGTTCAACCAAGTAAAGACTTCAAATCGGTTTAGTCAAGTTAAGGCTTTGATTCGGCTTTAAGTAAGTACACGTTTTAAAGCTAAATTGCTTCGATCGACTGACTGCGATGAACTGAACAAAGTGAAGTAGAAACTAAAGATAATATGCAAGTAAAACAACCGAAGAATTTTGTGCTAATGCAAAATATGCACAAAATGTCTGCTACATCAGAAATACTTGCGCGTTAAATGCTGATTTTAAACGTTTGTTGATTGAAAATAATTGCAAAGAATGTAAACATTCGTATTGTTATGATATGAACAAATGTTTTATTTAATGAAATATGATTTCGATATATCAAATTTGATCAATTGTTTAATCAATTTGAAGAAATAAATGCATTTCCGCTTGATTTGATTATATCTATGTTTTGCTCAATTATCGCCCGGTCGACGATGACACAGTTTGAGAGAATTTTTTCACGCCACTGGTTGTCAAACACTTGTCTAAAAAATGCACAAAATTACTAAGTTCAAATGACATAAATGCAATTTTTCTGAGAAAGAAAACTCTTACGATTTTACGTGGATAATTCATGCGCTGGCAAATTAGACAAAGTACCAAATTATCTTTGCCCACATTGGACATGTAGTAAATGTTGTTGCAGTGAAAACACTGATATACAGCCACGGTATCTGTCTTTGGCTTTGGTGCAGAGTCCATTTTCACAAAATCTGAATCGAAAGTAATTTGATAGGTTTTACACACACAAAAACTAACAATTGCATTCGACTGAGAAGTTTCACTAGTTCAAATGTAGGAACTTTTACTTTCACTAGTTCAGAATTACTCACCTTTTTCGAATGTCCGATTGAAATGTCACAAAGCGAATTTCAGTTTTGAGCTGGCTGGTAGTGAAAAAGCAGTCGTTCCACTCGTTAAACAGAACTCAGACTATTTATTCTTATTGAGTAATTACAAATGACCGAACGATATTAATGATGTCTTTCTTTTATATCGAATTTTGCGAGAAAAAAAAGATAAACAAAGCAAACCATTTGTTCAGAGCATGTTATTGCATGGCATTTATCAACAAGCCGAATATGTTTTGAAAATTGAGATTTGTTTAAAAAGAATGCTCAAATTCGTTCTTATTCGATAAGATGTTTTCACAACATTCGAGTTTTGCGATATTTTTCCTTTGACTTTGTGAAATATAAGAAGATAATGACAAATCGGTTCGACTGTGATTGTTTCTTTTTTCAATTTTATACTCGGGAACTTTTTATTCACCTTTGCTCTCTCTTTAAAATCTAAAACTCTCCATGAGATACTTTTAAATAAAATAGCTACATAGATTCCAAAATCATTTCAAATGACAACACTTAGCTTTACATTTTTCATATTTTTATTCGATTCTCGTCAAAATTTCAATGATGATTGTTCACAAAATATGATTTTATAAAGAGTGTTCAATCGAGGAAACGAGAAATCAAATGTTTGCGCATATTACAAAAAGATGCGTTGCTTGGAAAATCCATCATTTGGATGATTCTGAAGTACCTCGCATGCGCGCGGCTTCTTTTTTTGGAGTTTCATGATGTTCGACCTGCATTACAAAAATTCAAATCTCAAAAATTTGAGAAATCATCTTCCGAATGATCATCTTCTTTCATACCTTTCTGGTTGGGAAATTGTCATGCAAGCAAACGCGGCATGTGCGGGACTGATTCATATTACAATCGGTGGCGTAATAAATGTTGTTGCATCGGCTGCAACGGAACATCATTTTGTCAGACATCTTTTGTGAAATAAAAAAAAAAAATCAAAAACAAAATTTCATAAATAAAAAGGGGGAGATATATGGACAATGTGTCCAAATTTTCGGACTTTTTTTTCAATAATTTCCACTTAATGAACATAATGAACTTATAACTAGAAATTATAATCGTACCACTTCACTTATCCACTTGCGCTTAATGAACGTTAAAATGATCTTCTTGAGATTCAAAACTTTAACAACTCCGAAGAATGATCTTTGCCGTTTTCGGTTTGCCAACTGAGTCAATATTGACGGTGCTTCAGCCTTTTATATATGATTCGCCAGAAAATAATTAGCTCACTCAATCGAAATTCCTCAGAATAAATATTAACAACTATAAAGAATTCGCAATATTTTAGAAAAGCAAAGCGCAATATTTTATGGATAAACATTTCGGCGTTTTCGTATTATTTGCCGATGAGTTTTTGCGTTTCAATTACGTTATCAAGTGTTTATAATTTGGATATTCGCACTTCTTGTAAACACATGACAGTATCGAGAGTGTAATGAATCATAGACATTTGAAACAAAAACTGATTGAGCAAGACAAGAACCATTTTGATAGCCATTTCGAACAGAAAATATGACAATTTTCAAGAAGACACCTTATTCAGGAAGAATATTTCACATTTAAAGAGCTTTAGATTCTTAATCAGTTACCTCTTAGTTGCTAAAACCCCTGACTGTTTCAAAATCTGAAAAAGGAGATGTTCTAAAAAGGAAATCAAACGAAATGACAACACTATTGCATTTACGTTTTTTGAAATTTTATTAGAAACTCGTTAAAATGTCAATGATGATCGTACACAAAATAATGTTCAATCTAGGATACGAGTATTGTTGTGTGCATATTTCAAAAAGATGCGTAGTGTATTCAGAATTTCGACGAATGCCATCATTCTGGATTAGGTGCGCTTTGGACGGCCAGGGCTCTTCTTGTCAGCTTTTGGAGTGTAACCACTGTGTGGTTCGCTCTGCAATGAAAAGAAAATCCAAATGCATTAGACTGATGAACATCAACGATTTCATTTAATGATAACAGATTTCATACAAATCGTACCTTTCGGATGGGACGATTGGTGTTCAAGCAATTACGGCATGTGCGTTGTTCGTTCATGCTGCAATTGGTGGCGTAGTAAGTGCATTTGCACCGGGAGCAGTTGAACACCACCTTGTCGAGTTTTTCAGACATCTTCTATGAAATTAAAATGCACAAATAAAATGTGTTATTTGGTGAATTTTCGTTTATTCTTAAGTCATGATCACTCGCCAAACTTTTACAAAAAAATTTCACTCGCAAAAACAAAAATTCAATTACCACTTCGGATTTTTTTCACACTCGAAACTTGAATCGATCGATTTCAAACGTAAAAACTTGCACAACTTCTGCGAAATGATCTTCACGGTTTCCTAGCTGCCGACTGATTGAATTTTGACGGAGCTTCAGCTTCTTATATGTGATTCGTCGCAATGAAGTAATGAGACAAAATCAGTTGAAATTCTTCGGTTGCACATACTGAAAAACACAAAGAATTTATCATGATGTGTTCAACATATCAGAAGCAAAATCGAAAATTGCCGCATAATCAAGAATCGCAGAGCAATTCATAATTTGTTTGTATTGAAAATCATAACATTTCGTCTGTGCATTTGTTTGTATTGAATAAAAGAGTTAAGTCTTCTCAGAAGTAAGCACATTTCGTTTCAATCACAGTTAGACGCGCATTTTCATGTTTTTGAACGCGCAATGCCGATGTTGGCTTTTTGTTTTTCGCATGAATCATTCGAACGATATCAAATACCTCAGTGAATAAATATTGAGCACCGCGTGATACACGGAACGTTTTTATGAATTTGCGTTTTTTTATAAACACATGGCCGCATCAAGAAGCATGAACATTCAAGAACCAAATCGATATCGTTTCCATAATGGAATTTGTCTTAAAAGCCAAAAATTTGATTGTCTAGCATTTTTGGTGCGTTACATCAGCTATTTCGTTCATATCAGTCATTTTATGTCAGGCAATTCCAATATATCGATTCAATTCCCTTGAATATCGTCTAATCGATGCGTCAGTCAATGATAATAATCGCTTCAATTAGAATTTGAAGCAGAAGTCATTTGGTAAATTGAATGATAGTCTTGTTTGGTATAAGCCGTTACATAAGCAAAACACTCCAACGAACCAAGCTCGTTCTACCTCTCGACATAGATAACATCAAAATGTCAGCTGATAAACTGCATTCCCATTATCGCATTGGCATTTCAGTTGACTCCAGTCAACTTAATTACACTAGAGTGCCTTTACAAAATAGCAAAGCTAGCCGACCAGTGCACTAAAATGTCGCCAGCAGTTCAAAAGCACTCTAAATGAATTTCAACGATTTAAATGTGTTTGAAGATATTGTAATAGCTCGTCTGATATCTATATACTGAGTCTATAGACTCCATAGTCTAGAGCAAAGACTTTACACTATGAAATTATCCCTTTATTAAGCAATGAATCACTTTTGAATGTGAAAGATCTGTGGCGCTTTTCCCATAAATTCATTTAAAGCAGCGAATAACACATGCGCAACCACAACAACAACGAACAATATTTGCCGGCATCTGTTTATTCGTAACATTGACTTAATTCTGATAATATTCCGAAAGAATTTACGTTTCATTAGAAAATGAAATCAACAGCCATTAGGCTGGCTGACGGTCTGACTTTTTAATTGATTGCCGAGCGAATCAAACTATGGAATCACATTATTTGTGTTGTTTGACTGTTTCTAAATGAATTTGCTATGACGCAATCGTTTAAAATTCACTGCAGTGCATATGTAGGCCTTAGGCAGTTTTCCATTTACACATGGCTCGGTTTTCGTTCTTATCTACACAGTTTTTGTATGGATGTATGGAGTAACGTTTTGGGTAAACTGGCGAACGAATTTGACTCTATGATGATGGTTAAGCGCATTACGAAAATTGCCTCAAGGCAATTTGACCCAAACTGAACGTAAATAAAACACAATTGAATGAAGCGAGTCGCGCGCGACCATGCTACAAACAATACACACTTTATTTTCTATTCAATGTAATTCAATTGAATTCACTGTGTATTCCCATTTAATTCGAATTATTCACAATTTAACGTGTAAAATAAATCACTACTACATGTGTGAGTAGCAACTCGTACTGCGAAATGGTTTTCGAATCAAATTTGAAAGCGTATTTCATCAGACTTTGAATTCATTTGTGATTAGATTATAATTTGTTTAGCTCGGAAAACGATTAGAATCAGGTTTGAAATATGGAATGTCGTGTTTGACTATTTAAAAATAGTTAATGCTCACATTTCTCATGGAATACCTCATTGTGACATTGCTTCAATCATTTATATTATTGGACGCGTTTGTTGGACGCATGCTTATCGATTCATCGATAATGATGGTCGCCTTTTTCCGGACACAATAATCCTATTATTGAAAAGACATTCCATCTTTTGTACAGTTTCATTTTTCAAATTTATTCCATCGCCATAAAATAAGCCGTTCCGATGTTAGATGACGTTGCTGTTGTTGGTGTTTTTTTTTCATTCTTTCTCTATTCTGTGGTTCTGATTGATGAATTTTTTGAAAGGAAGTCATTGATTGAAGTGCAAGTCACGCAAATTCATTGGCATTGCCATGTTTCTATTTCCATGGGGCGAAGAAAGTGGAATGACAAAGATGAGAGAGCAAGAGAAATACAAATTCTTTCATGACATACAGATATTAACACTAACGACGACGCCATTGTGCGATGAATGAACGACTTGATTTTTTTTATGTTTCATACATTGCAGACGGTTTTTATGAGCTGGTGACAGACACATACACAGATGATCCACAGTTAAACTATCTTTTTTGTCACATTCAAGCTTTTTTTCTTCTCATTTTGAAAGCAATTTGACCACTTTTAGATTGGATTCTAACAATATAAAGTTGTCGTGCATTACAAATTGAAATGATATTTTCGGTCGTTTTTTTTTTGTTTTTCTTATCAAATTCTCAATATCCATGAGTGAACTCATTAGAATTCTGTCCATCATTCGATTGATCGTGGTGTATATGTGCAAGAAACAAAATCCGAGCTCATATTTCATTACAAGCAAAATATTTTCGTCTTTGTGGAGAGACAAATCGAATTTGAAGAAGAAAAATCTCGAAGACAAATCCAATTTAGAGAGAAGGGAAAAAAATTGAAAAGATCGAGAAAAAAATGGATTGTGCTGTCAATAGCTTCATTTCGATGGCCATTGAAATGGCTGTCTCAGTTACAATGATGCAAGCCGTGTCAGCTTCAAAGCCAAGCGAATGCACTTTGTGCCATTCGATGGCAAACAATTCATCTTTTGAAATCGTCGACACTCGATATAGCGACACAGAGAGATATGCTGACATTTTCTCGCTACACACTTGAAGTGTGAAAGAACTTGAAAGTGAAAGACGTTGATTCTTAAAGTTTCTTCGAACGATAAACGATGATATTCAATGCGAAAAAACAAATGCTCCGTGCCTTTCACATGGTCGTGTGTCCAAAAACGTTCTAACAAAAAAGACGACAAGCGATTGCGTGCATAGCACGTTATTGTCATCTATTCTTGTTCGTGAAACTAGACAATTTTCTAGTTTCTCGAACAAGTTTTGTTCATAATTGAAGTTCAAATACGTTTTTATTTCTTCTTCAACATACGTGATTTTTCCTTAGAATTATGCCATTAAAAGATCGTTGTCTTTCTTCAGTCCAAGAAAAATAATAATGAAAAATGTGATGACTATCGACAGTGTTTTATTTTAATGAACGAGACAAATGAATCAGCCCGTTTTATCTTTTTGAATGCAAACAGAAAAATAATCAACAAAATGGCATTGGCAAGCCTGAAAATAACTGTTCCATAAATGCTAACGATACTATTTTTCTGCGATAATTCCGAAAGAAAGTCAACATAAACTGCAAGAAGGAAGCAATTTTTCAATGGGATAAACGTCGAAAGTATCACTGAACCGTGAATGGTTGTTGTGTCGGCCGTCAAGCGCGTGAAACAGACACAATAGATGCGTAAAGCGATAAGATTGTAATTAACTGCAGTTGTTGCATGAAAGTGTTGTCGATTTTCTTTAATTGCACTCTCTTTCTCCCTCTCTCTCTCCTCTCGTGCTGCGCTGCTATTTACAAATCGTGTAAGTCTATTTTTATTTTCGTTTCCATGTTTATTGTCACGATTCCCAACGATTCAGCAATTCAAACAGTTTTATGTATGTTTATTTTGAATTCGTATAAAAATAGTCGAGTTTCGTGGATTTTTCGGTCGCCAGATGCGGCGAAAGTCGTAAAAATGTAGAATTCGGTCAACTAGTACTAGTTGGTATAGATTTTAGTGTTTTATGGTCTCGTTACAAATTGTGTGTACGTTGCGTTTTGTTTCCCGATGGCATCGTTAAGTCATGCCCCATCTCAATGTTGTAATGACTGAATTTAAACAAAACATCCGATGAATTACCGCAACGACGCATCCGCCGATCCGATCAAAAAGCACTTGAACAGTAAACATGGCAGAAATAATCGCAGTGAAACACATTTGCATACTTTTTTCCATCTCTTTCAATGTTTTGATTCATTTTTACTCTGTCAATTTGTTCATGTTTTCTCTTTCAATGTTTTGGATCTCGTTGTTCTGAATCTCAATGGTGATTCATCAATCACGCAATTGCTCATCATATTCACCTTACTCTTATTTCAAAACACCGTCTTTTTTCTCCACATTCAATGTAGATACAGTTTGGTTTGTGCAAAATAACAAACACAATTCCGTCGTCGAAGCGTATTTTCAATGATATTTACATTTTTTTGTTGTTATGGTTCAAGTCATTGATTTTGCGTGTGAGTGTGTTTACAAACCGAAGCTCGATTCATCTATATACATTCGCAAGAAATGACAGTAAACAGCATATGTGCCACTTTGTTTCTCAAACCTTTGCGTGCAAACACTTTTGACGCTATTTTGCATAAATTTCCATTATGATCGTTTTTTTTAACGAATTTCTCTTTGCACTGATCCATGCAAATATTTGCCGTGAACTCGGTTCTTTTTTTTCGAGAACAAAGAAGAAATGAGTATGGTACAGAACCGAAAAAATCGGGCATATGTGTTTGCCAAAAGTTCAACTGTTTGCGACAGATGATCAACTGCGCTCACATTTTTGACAATTATTCAAATGTGAAAGAAATGAAGCATGTGCTTCGAGTAGACAACCCATACACTGTAAACCAGATTTACTGTTTTCATAACCGTTTCGATGCAGACAAAAAAAAACAGTAGATCTTTTGAAAATAGGGTGAGCTCATGCCCATTCTCTTTGCCGTGTTGCCATGCAAATATCGCAATAGAAACATTCGATTCGACCGCTTTGCAAAGCGACATAAGCCGGCCATAGTCTGTGCGTGA